CGAGTTTCGTGTTTAGGCTTGCGGCCGATTCGAAGAATGGCTTCCGTAATGCTGCCAAGCTGACTGTGACATTATGACGGCGAGGTATGACATGTGACATGGGCAGAGAAGGGGTGGAAGTGTTGGATTAGGGATTAGATTACGTGCCCTCATCAGTGTGAAGCAACAGGAGCCCCCTTGCAAACAATATGTGGCGAGTTCATCTCTAAGCTCAAAGGACGCGTCAACCGCAGATGCAACAACTACGCAAGGACAAGAGACAACACTGTTTTGTTAACTCGCGACAAGCGGTCGCCAGAAACTGTGCATTTAAACTCCACGCTGGCCCCGCCAGCGTCCCGGACTGCACCTACACCATACTCTAAGCCCTAGACCCTGAACCATTTTGAAGTAAGGGAACCCGAACCCATACTTGAAGCCACAAGCTCACTCCTCAATCCTGAAGCCTGAAATCCTCATCAAGGCCTCTACACATTCGAAACAGCCACAACTGTCATGACAATGAAGCCACTCAAGCCCTGTCCTGCTCCCCACATCGTTCACAGCTCCAGCCGCGGCTGTGGCATGACCGGGCTGATGCTACATTGTTTTGCAGCTATCTGCACCTTTAAGGGAAGACGGCCTTCGAGGCTTCCCAGAGTTAGCCGCATCGAATTCAATGCCAGGTTTGTCGGCAACAGGTGTTTGCCTGGTAATCGAACGGATTGCCATGGTTTTTAGATTTAGAGATCAACATAGTCTGCAATATACATATGTGTATGATTAATTCTGGACTGGTTCAAGTCACTCCAAGGTTAGGGTTAGAGCAACTCCCACGTGGCACCTTGCCAGCTTCGCAGATCGGCAGTTTTGGGCCTATAGCGCTTGCCCGGATCATGACGTGTAGCGTTTTGGGCCTGCCAAGTTCATGGCGCGCAGGGTGACAGTCTAGGACTCGAGTCTTTTTACTTTTTACAGGAGACCCAGCTTCCTGCTAGGATGGAGGCCTGCACATTATCTTTCATAGTTGTGGATCCGAAGAATAATTTGCATTGGTATCCCCGAGTCTATGCACCACCTCTCTCTGCCTCCCCCTCCTTCTCGCTGCGCTCGCTCTCTCTCTCTCGCTCTATCTCTGTCTCTTTTTTGTTCTCTCTCTCTCTCTCTCTATACATATACATACACACACGCACGCCCATCACTGTTCACCCTATTGTGTCCCCAACCCTGATTGAAAAATGATGAGGCCAAGACTCAAGTTTCTATCATCAGTTCTTCGGGCTTAGGGTAGCGGCTCTGACATGGCACGGCTCGCCCAAAGGTGGGAGGGTTTGGGGTTCATAATGAGGGGTTTTAATAGTCACGATAGGGTCTTGTGCTCCTTGCTACTATACTTACAATAAGGACCCCCCCCAAAAAATACTACTGGTAATTATTTAGGCTTCCACATTAGGGCTTTTCTGGCTGGGAGCTTGTACTTTGGAGTTACGTGTGCAGAGAGTTCAGGCTTGGAGCTTGCCAGAATTTGGGGTTCCCCGGGGGCTGCTCTTGCAATCCAGGGTTGGTGTAAGTTCCCGAATGTCCGGAAGATCACATAGGCGATCGTCGGGATGAGTCGAGCGAATGATCTCATTGTCATACTTTACGTTTCCACGCAGGTGCCGTTCTGGGTTTACGGCTTGGGGTCGGTTCGTGTTGGCTCTCTGCTGTTGTCGCCCGGAGAGACGTGCAACCAGAATCGGGTAGGTCATATATGCTGCTGATGAGAAGCGTTTCTTGCCATCCAGCACTGACTAAGTGTGTACCATGGCAGTTTACCTACCCTACACATGTTTGGGCATGCTCTGGCATGTACCAGCATGAACACTCAAAAAAAACGTCATGAGGTTGACATGATTGCCGCTGATTTCCACTTGTTGTTGCTGTTGTTGCCATGCATATACAGCTGTGGTGCCGAGCTTCTTCAAAACCTCAAGCCTGTGGGAATACACACAGTAAACCTGCAAGCCCTACAGACCATAGATCCTATAAGCCCTGCAAGCCCTAAGCCTTATACGCCCTACACCCTAAGCCCTAAACCCTACAAGCCCTAAATTCTACCTCCGAGCCCAGAACCCCAGGGTCTTGATAGCCCCGCATGTTTCCGAGTGGGAACGCTTCAGGGTTCAGGGTTTAGCGCTTAGAGTTCAGGGTTTAGGGTTTTGGGCTTATAGCTTTAGGAGTTTAAGTTGCAGGGTTTAGAGTTCAGGGTTTAGGGTTTTGGGCTTAAGGCTTTACGAGTTTTTTTTCCTCTTGCATTGCTTTAGGAGTTTAGGTTTTAAGGTTCAGGGCTCTGCGTTTTTAGGGTATTGGGCTTATGGCTTTAGGAGTTTAGGTTTTAGGGTTCAGGGTTGTAGGGCTTTAGGGCTTTTACCATCGTCTCCATGGGCCTGAAACCTAACCTACTTTGGGGTCTGGAGTCTGGGGCCAGGGTCTTCAGCTCTTACTGTGGCCTCAAATATGAGAAGAACCCTCAGGAATATCAGTAGTACTGAATTATTCAGGCTGCTTACAGCTTGAACCTCACAAGCGAAGCCACCGTTTTCCTTGAAGCGATGGTGCTCAGTGCCCACTGTACTAAGTACTGACGTCGGAAATTATCCGACCAGGCTTCAACCAGGTGGCAAAAGCAGTCCCAAGCAGACTGCGCCTCGTTCTGCGTGAGGCTTCCCCAAAGGGTCCCCTCCCGTTCTTCTCAATGAATCAGCCTTCTATATGCTTCATGCAGTCCCTGTAAAAAGCCTCACGCTCCCTTCAGGACCGAGCAGAAACTCAAGACAAGCCCCGCGCAGTCATCATGAGAGCGTATGAGCCTTTGTCTCAGAAGTGCCTCCCCAACAAGAAGCAGATCTCCGATCTCCAGACAAAAGCAGAGCATCAGCTAACATTGACAGCGAAGCCGTAAGCCGCACATGCTCAACTGCTGTTCCGTGTGAACTATACGGATAACACGCTAGGGCCCTATACTAGATGCCCAGATGCTCTTACTGTCACTCAATGCTCTGGGGTAAGTAGTAGGTAGTTGTAGTATCGTAGTAGTCGTAGTAGTAGTAGT